GTGTGCCAGGCTGGGATGTGTGTGCCGTGTGAGAGGACACTCGTGCAGCGTTGGATTCAGAATGCTGTCTGAAATCCTGATCCTGCCATTCTCTACTGGGTGGACAGGAACACTCAGCTACATTGGAAAGGAGAAATTATTTGAAACCTTTATTTTCATGCACAGACTTGTTTCTGTGAAACAATATATGCGTAAGTGTATTCTAAATGGTACACAACTTCCGCTGATGAAACTGGTTTTCCTTTATGTGGACGTTTCTGGGAGCAGATGTCTTAGTCTGGGCAGGAGGAAAGGTTTCAAAGTAATTTGTAGAAGGAAGGAGCTTAGTTAGATGAGTCCAGTTCTTCAGGAAGAATTTCTTCATGGGAAGGGTGGTCAGGCATTGTCAGGGTCTGCCCAGAATGGTGTCCAAGGAACAACTGGACATGGCACTCAGTGCTCTGGGCTGGGTATCAAGGTGGGGATCGGTCAAAGGGTGGACTTGATGATCTCAGAGGTCTTTTCCAACCTCAGTGATTCTGTGATGACAAAGTTTCAAACGTAACTAAGAGCTGTCAGTGTTCATACACCCACTTTACCTTTTAAAAAAAAAGAATACATTACTGGTCACTGCTTTATAGTCAGCAGCACCAGTTCCCAGCCCTCCCCTAAAAATGCTGTGTGTTGCTACTCAGAATTTCTTGGATTCCTTCTGTGTAACACTTGCCTAGTTAGAGAAGAAGCAGTTGGGGAAACAAATGACTTGTGTGCCTGGATTGTCTAAAACTGCCCTTTTGAGCCCGGCGTGTCGAGCCTGGGGCAGCTGTGCCGGTTCTGGGCTGAGCTCAGCACGCTGAGCACAGCTGTCCCTGCCTTGCCTGCAGCACGATGCACAGATGGATTACTATGGCACGCGCCTGGCCACCTGCTCCTCCGACCGCTCCGTGAAGATCTTCGACGTCCGGAACGGAGGGCAGATCCTCATTGCAGACCTGAGGGGGTGAGCTGTCAGAACAGGAGACTTTCACTGGGGGAAGCTCTTAATACCCTGCCCCTTTGCCCTTGGGCAGCACAAAGTGCAGGTTGAATTCAAGGCTGGACTCCTCCAGGGTTGTGCTGAAAAACTCCTCAGATGTGGGAAGGGGACAGAGCAGCAGTGGGAAATACACTGGGGCTTGGTTCATTTAGTACTTGACACCTGTGACTTTCAAGAAGTAAAATGTACTAATACAAGGATAAACATTTGAAATTGTTTTCTATGGCACTGACAACCCCGTGTCAGGGCACTAACATTGCCATCTTGGCATTATCCATTCCTCATGGCAGGCCACCAATCCCTTCTGGAACAGGGATTCACAGCAGTGATGTCTGTGAGGCAGCCACAGCTGGGAGGGGTTTCTCTTCCCTTTTCCACATGACATTGTTTCTTGCAGGCATGAAGGTCCGGTGTGGCAGGTTGCCTGGGCTCATCCTATGTATGGGAATATCTTGGCTTCCTGTTCCTATGACAGGAAGGTTATTATCTGGAAGGAAGACAATGGCACTTGGGAAAAGACCTATGAATACACAGGACATGATTCCTCAGGTATGGGAGTTTGGAGCTGGGAAGGGAATCTGGGGAAATGAGGGGATTCTGGTAAGGTTAGAGTAAATCTGTCAGTGTTAAGGAAGGAGGCCTCTGTCAAACAGACAGGGATAAATAGTGAAGAGAGAGTAAATCTGTTCAGCATAAACAGGACCTTTACCTAAGGTTATATTACTGGATAACCTCCTGTCCTGATTCATACGGTGTTTGCACAGGAGTTGTTATACAAAGAAATCAGCTTTCAAAGGAAGATGACAGGGGACTGAATTCTTGAGGAAAATACTGTCTGTGTCCTGTAAGAAAAAATGAATTTGTCATGCAGTGTTTTGTTTTACAATGGAAACTTTTGTTTTCGGATGATTTGTCCAGCCAGTGCAGATCTGAAGTCTTTGGCTTTGCTGTTACTGATCTCGACTTTACATCCTCTGCCTGCCACTCAGCTCTTGTTTTAGTCAGCGATGCTTCCCACTGTTGTCAAGAGTTTTTTAACCTCATTAAGAGTACTCTGTTGGAGTTCTCATTCTAAAAGGGGTTCAAAAATAAAGGCCATTCTCCGTCATTCCATAAACAGTGTTAATTGACTGGCTTTGCTGAAATTCAGCAATGTCAAGACTCATTCTCAGCTTTCAGAGCCACTCACTCTTGGTGACTGACTGATATCAGTCAGTTTTAGGCAGTCCCTGTGATGTAATCTGGTCTGTCTCTCCTTTCTCAGTGAATTCTGTCTGCTGGGCACCACATGACTATGGACTGATCCTGGCCTGCGGCAGCTCTGACGGGGCCATCTCCTTGTTGAGCTACACGGGAGATGGGCAGTGGGAAATCAAAAAGATCAGCAATGCACACACGGTGAGTCTGGTCCTTCGGAGCAGCAGAGTTCCAGGAGCTACAGATAATGCCGAGGGGATTGTTGCCTCAAAGATAAATACTGAAATACAGTGAAGTGATGTGAAACATCGAGAACCAAGAATAACTTGTTTGAAGTTCATCCAGAGTGGATAGGTGTACTTCGTAGTAACTAAAATGAAATGAAAAAAAGACACGTGAAGGCTACAAAACAGCACTGGTAATGCCTGTTAATTGGGCATTACTGTTAAACACAGTGGTGAAAGTTACCTGGCAGGAAATGGCCTTTGTCCTAAGAATATCTGCACCAATTAACTGAATAAACTGAAGCCAAAAAAATTGCAGGGCATGTGTTTTCCCCAAAATAATGGGGATTTTTGCTTAAGCAAAACTTCATAAACTAATGGCATGGCTCTCAATAGAAGGAAATTGGGCT